TAATGTCAAATAGTCTGAAACATTTTTGAACATGTCAGAGTTTAAACTTTATTTTCTACTAATCTATTTTCTGTCTTCTGAGTCATGTTTGTTTCTCTGTCAAGCTGTGTATTCCTCTGTGTTTCAGGCCATGCACCAGGTCAGTTGTACACATATCCTGCTCGCTGCTGGCGCAAGAAGAGACGGCTAAACATCTTGGAGGACCCACGGCTCGTACCCATCGAGTTCAAAATTGGTAAGGAGTAACTGGGCCAGCTCTTTAGCATCAACAGCACTGTGGAATCTGTCACTTTGGGTACATATTCCTAATTCCCAGTCGTAAATAAATGCTGCCCATTTACCTCTTAACATGCCACTTTTCCCTTTAATTTGTTGGTTTATGCTTTATTTGGTTCTCTTCTCGCTCAAGGCTAGTCTTCAGAAATTCCACAGGGTTGTTAAAACAACAATTAAGTATAACCAGTGGAATCTAGCATTGTGTGCTTTCTGATATGAGAAGGGCCAGATCATGAAATATTGTTTGGAGGTGATCTCCGTTTATCCTGACTATATTAGCCAAATTCCAAAATCATACTGTCAGATGTGAACATAAAGCCCCTCTCACATGGAGCACAACAGCAAAAATCCTAAAGTACCTTAAAACACGGAAGACATACCCAACAGAAAGAGCCAAAACACAAATTAAACAACACAAATATGTTAGAGGCTTAAATAAGGAAATTTGTACCACAGAACGTCACATACCCCTCCCATAAAGTACAACAGCAAAAAGAGGAGAAGCACCTTTTTGAGGAGGGTCTCCAAAAATAGGAGTAGTGGTTCAGAAACGTTTTGCACGTTTTGCCTATGGAAGCCTGGACGTGTCGGGTAATGTACACATATTTTATACAATCATAACATTAAATATTACAGACTTGATTACACATATTGCTGCTTTATGGTTGGCATGTTTAGTTAAGCATATTAAAATACTAATAGGCCTATAGTACACAAACAGGCTCCTGGCATGCTTCTTTTATTTCCCCTTGAGTAGCTTGGATTTTAAAAATTCATGTTTATTCCACATTATCTAATATTATTGCATACACGGAATACTCTGCATCAGCTTGTGTAGCTGAAACAATATTATTTCATTACCATGTTTTGGAAAACTTTAATTTGTTATTTCTGGCCCATCAGGAGATCAGTGAGGATTAAAATGTGCCTTGTTATTAAAAATTCAAGGGGTCAAACGACGAAATTTCTTTATTATATTTATTTTATTATTTTATTTATATGTATGTGCAGATGCTTTCCCCTCACAAAAACCTTTATCAAACCAAATTGTATGTTAAACTCATATTATGTGTAGCAGGTGGCTCACATGAAGAGAAAACATCTGTAAAGAAAATGTGGACACTTTCCCGAAACCACATCCGTACGAAACCAGCCAAGTTTAGTTTCCTCAGGGCAGCGTTAGCTCAAATGAGCATGTCAGCATGACTGTGAGGTCTCTGCTGCTTTCTGATTGTAATTGTGTCATCCCTCAGATTACGAGGCTTCTCTAAAGAAGGAGGGGGGCATCCCGGATGGGCCTGTGCTGGAGTCGCTTCTCGCCGGGGAAACCCTGGACAAGAAGGTAGAAACCAAGGAAGAAGAGCCAATGAGCGAGTGTCAGGTGAGAATTCATTGTTCTCCCTCCCCCTCTCATTTCTCTCTTCAGTTATTTGTTATTCTCTGTGTCTTGTTCTTGTTGTTTTCCTCTTATGTCAGCCTGTCTTCCTCTTTTTATCTGTCTGTATTACCCTCTGTGTTTGTGTTCCTCTGTCTGTCTCCGCCTTTGTCTCTTGGATCGTGTTTTGTTGGTGACATCCCTCCTGGCTCAGAATGTGTGCATATGTGTGTGTGCGCATTTTTGTGTGTACTTGTAAATGTGTGTGATTGCACTGCAGTCAGTCTTGGGAATCCATTTATGTATATGAGTAGACACATTTTTCTGAATAAGGGACATTTGAGGGAAGTGGAGCCACCTCTTAGCTCTTTGTCATGGGTCATTTTTCGGTATGTGGCACCACTGAGCACAAACTTAAAGTCCACCTGACTCTGTATTTCATCAGCTAGAGGGCGTTGCTCTTGAACTCTTGAACTCAGAACGACAGCTAATCAATCAGCAATTGAGTGAATGGCCGTCACAGCTTTTTGAAAGCTGAAGTAGTGTTCAGTTCCTCTAATCCATGGTCTCAAGGCTCACTCAGGGCTTTACGTCAACACCTTACAGCGATCCCTTTTTTAACACAATCAGATTAAAGTCTTGTAACACAAAGCTGTTGTTTTCCTATAAGGCGTAAAAAAAAGGATAAACTCTCATCTTTTAAAGGAGCTTTGATTTTACACATGGAGTTCAGTGAAGAGTAGTACGCAGCCCATGAAGGCAGCTTTATATAATGTCTTCAGTGGCGAAGAATGGAGCTGACTTAAGTTTGAAAATAATAAAACTGACCCAGATGATGCGATTGTCATCAACAGGAATCATTTCATATCATGGGCATATTTATCATGTGCACACAAGATGAACAACCTTTCAGGACTTTGGGGGCTCTGTACATCTCTCCTCTAGACTAGTAGACATTGAGTATAGAGAATGGGGGAAGACACGCAGCAAAGGGTTGGGTCGGAACCCAACTGAAGATCCAAGCATCCATATGTGTGAGGCCCACTAACCTGCAGCACGTCACGGATGTCATTACTTAGACTTTTCAAGTATTATAAACTGGAGTTGAGGGTTTTAAAAGAAGCAGGCATAGGCCACCAGTTGACTTGTTAATGTGCATCTACGGAGTCTCCTCGCTTGGAATACTAAGATGCATTTTGAGCCCCTTCAGTTAAGAACAGTGACACACTTGGCTATATTTAGTGTTAATGGTTCTGCTCTTACAGTTGTTTCCTGCACTATGATTAAGCAAACAACCTCAAAATCAACAGTAAGATGTACAATTTAATGACCACCCACGGGTCATATGGAACAAATGGAAGGAAAGGCTGAGATGGCTGAAAAAAAAGAAAAGAGAAGTCTCACAGTCTACCCTGTACCTCTCTCTCCTATATTTCGCCCCCACAGAAGCTGCTTGTCGGGGATTTCCCTCACGAGCTGGAGGTGGATGAGATGGAGGAGGACGTTCCGAAGCGCAAGAACCGCACCAAAGCACGGGTAAAGCACAGCAGTGACATTTCATACTCCATCTCTCTTTAATTAAGCCAAGAAAGAAAAAGTTTGGCTGTCAGTATAGAGGAGTGAAGCCAAGGAAGATTCAAAGTCTGCAGAAATGATCGAGATTGAGCTCAAAGTCCAAGTGTGGTGGGCCTGAGGTGAAGGTTTCTTGAATAAGCCTACAAGATATTCTGATGCACTATACTTGAGCACAACCTTTGCATGCGTGTGTGAACGTTTCACTTTTTACAAGATGAATACAGTCTACACACCAACAGTCATTACGAAAAATAGAAACAAAGTGATCCAGAAATTGAGATTCCGCTCGTGCTGGGACAACATTTTATTTTATTTTTTTAAATTTCTGCAACTTTGATTAAATCAGACTCGCTCCATCGTATGTGAAGATAATCAAGTGTTAACAATGTATTCTGAAAAGTATCACACACGTGTACACACACACACTCACACAAACACATGCTCACACGCAGACACCAGGGTTGCTAATTGGAGCTGTTGCTCCCCTGCTTGGTGTCATCAGCCCCCTCCTGCTGGAAGTGCAGCTTTACACTGAGAGCAGATGATTAGCATGCAAACTTGTGTGTGTGTAAGTGTGTGTGCGTGATCGTGTGAATATGGGTTTGTAGACACTTGAACACACAAATCAAGAGTGTGCTGTTACGCTAGTTTCATTTTGTGTGTGTGTGTGAATACAGGACTTCTGTGACAATTCAAGAAGCTGAAACTTTAGCCGTGTATTTTCTGTGTGTGTGTGTGTGTGTTTGCTCCAGGCCTACGGCGTCGGGGGCATGAGAAAGAGACAAGAGCTGCCTGCCATTGAAGACAGAGACAAGCCTTACGTCTGTGACAGTGAGTGCATCGTTACGTCTTTATTCACATTTGTCTTTATGTTTGTATGCATAACTTACTTGTACAGAAAACCTAGATACTTTATAATAGACTTAATAGACTGAATGTGTGTGTGTGTGTGTGTTCCAGTTTGTGGAAAGCGCTATAAGAACCGCCCAGGGCTGAGTTACCATTATACTCACACCCACCTGGCAGATGAGGAGGGGGAGGAAGACTCAGAGCGACACACACTACCCTTCCAGCGCAAGAACAACCACAAGCGTGAGTCTGCTGCCTGAATATTAAACTTTCTCACAGTCGTCTTGTTGTCCATCATTATTCACCTCATGCTGACGATATTGTTTGGCAGGAAGAGCTGCTTCTGAGACCTCACGACAGGATGAACATATAGCAGGGTTAGCAGTATGAGCTTTCATAATCAGAATATTATCAAGAACTATTGATCGTCCCAGAGTTCCTCCTGCAGTGTTATAGATAGTTACTGTGCTGACTGAGCTGAATCCAAACTTTCCTCTTGAGTGGATGAAAGATAAGATTTCTCCCAGTGGAGAACTGGGTTTAGCAGATTTCTACAGTTCCAACAGACTCAGACAGAGGCAGTGAGGCTGTGTTAAGCTGTGTTTGTGGTTTATAAAAATCCTTCGACTTGGCTTCTTAGCCCACTTCTTGACCTGCGTGAAACAAAGGTCAGACGCTATGGTGAACTGACATTTCAGTGATGGATGGAGATTTGATTCAATGATGTTATTGATGTTTGAGTAACGTTTAAAAGATCTGACTTCAAAAGACTAAAAAGAGGAATAAAAGGAAACTGAAACCAAATTAATTAAATTCAGGTTTATTTAAATTTTTGTAAATGACATAAGAAAATTATCTTTAATATGAAAGGATCCCTCTCTCTTTCACTATATATAGATATATATATAAACATTCGTGGAATTAGTATAGATGTACATACATATACATACATTAATATACATACTGTACATCACAACTATATGTACATTTATAGTATAATACTATTTAATATACTACTGTGAAATAATACTCATTTATGAATACAACGCATTATCTTTAAACATATTTCCATACTCATATTAAAACTGTATACGTTTAACAGTCTATATATGAATATACATTATTTAGAAGTATATCTTATCTTGTCTTACTTACATGTAGTAATAGGACAAGGGGCCATGGGCGAGCAGAAATAACGGGAAATAAAGCACTGACTTAATATCAGTGCAGAATAATCTATGTTAATCTTATTCTGAGAGTATAAAGTGTTGTCAGTGTTTCCATCAGTTTACACAACCTTAACAGATTTAACAGCTCCTGCAAAGACACACGAGCTCAGTGAGAACTCTTCAATGGACACTCATCAGCTCAGTAGCTAAATCAGTGGGCAAACACCAGTCATACACTCTGGGAAATTTCCAGCCCACTCTATATTTGTACCTTTCAATGTACCTTTCAGTTTAAAGCACGCAGTATTGCTGCAGCTATCAACAGCTTAATGAGTTTCCATTAATGTGCTGCTCCAGAATATCATTAAGTTATAATTAAGACCCATGGTATTGCTTGCTAATGCCTCCAGCACTTTGTGCCAGACTGTGTAGGAATGTATGTAAATGCAGGAGGGCAAAGGAACAGATGTTTTTGTTGTGAAGTGGTTTATCATATATTTATATTATTACTTCAGTATTTTCAACCATGCTTGTGGTTTTGTGAACAGCAGCGTTGGTTTGTTGGTCAGTTGTCTAACACTTTGTTGATCCTGAAATGTCTCGACAGCTATTTGATGTATTACAGTGCAACTTGGTGCAATCACTCATGTTCCCTGGCTGAACTATTGTAACTTTGGTGATGCCCTGATATTCTTCTTCCTCTTCCTCTATCTCCACCATCAGATTGAAATGGTAATTTGTGCTGTAGCCTACTCCATTCTAACATAAGTACAATGTTAGCATTAACAGCTTCGAGCTAAAAGCACTGCTGTAGCCTTCCTAAGTACAGACTCTTAATTTTTTTCTAAGTGACCTGAGATATCAAACGTTTTATTTCACAATGTTAAATCATTAATGTTGAGGATCCCTGTTGTTGCAGCAGGTTCTTCATCAGTTTATCACATTCAGATGACCTCAGCCCATTTTTCTGGAATCATGACAATGGTGTCAATGTTCAGTTCCAATGCAGAGTGTAGTGCGTCCTATAACGTTGTTATTGAATGTAAGTCAGGGTTTTCTGAATTATAAAAATCCTTCAATTCTGCCAATGAGGCTGACGATTATCGAACAGTGTCATCAAAGGGAAGAGTACAGTCTGCAAATTCACCCCATTACAGATGTGTGGGTTAGCACTGTTGCCTAACTGCAAGAAGGTCGCATCGGTTCGATTCCTTGTTCGGCCGTTTTAGTGGCCCCGTGATAAGCTGGCGACCTAGGATGTAGTGTGCCTTCTGCCTAATGTCAGCTATATCAGATACAGCTCTCCACAACATTCCAAGGATAATAAGAATAGATTGTGGATTGATGGATGAAATAATGCAGGTTACATACATTAGTGATGGCTTTGTTTCATAATGTGTTTCAAAAGTCCATTGTATAATACCCATGACTCTGTTTCCTGAAAGCATCTGAAGGCTCAGATGCTCTTTGGCCAGTTGTAAATCTGTGTGCTGAGATCGTCCTATAGCCTTAAAAAGCTTTTGGGAAGTGGAACCCAGGTCTTGGCACTGCATGTCGCAATTTGATGGAATGTGGCCATTATAAATGTTATTACTTAATGTACATTGAATGTCAGTCTGGATTTCACCTCATGCCACATTATTCCTTCTGGGACATTGCTTGTATTTAATCAGATCACGGGAAGTAAATCTGACAGTTACTGAATATTGGCAGAGTCTGTGATGCTGAAAAGAGGCCGAGTGCAATACCTGGAGAGCAAGCTCCAAATATCACTTGGGCTGTAAAAAACGCACTGAATGGCAGAATATATATAATAGTGCTGCGGGTTGTATGCATCCTAAGACTGCGGTTATTACAGTGCGACAAAGGATCTGCTAATGGGGACCATGAGAGAGAAATAAGAGTGAATAGTAAGTAAAGCAAATATTTAGGTTTCTATGAGCTGGTCATGACTCAGACCTCAAACCTCTGCTCCCCTCAGATGCAGCATATCCACAATAACTAAACAGCTTGTTGTCTTGTAGCTACTCATTTCCACCCCCCAGGGCCAGTTTTCTATCAGCGTGTGGTTTTTGTCCAACGTTGTCTTCTGTCTGCGTCTTTTGTTTCTTTGTAAACTCTTCTTATCGTGTGTGTTTATCCTGTGGGAGATTGTGTTTTTGTTTGGAAGTAATTGTCAATAAAATGGCTATAGTTGTTCACAAAAAAAACAAAAAATAGCTGTGGACATTGGAAAAAGGGAACGCAGATAATTCATCCACTTTCTTTGTTCGTCCCATTCTTAAAACAAGCCACTTGCTCAGAATAGAACGTAGATAAATACACACAAAAACACACGTGTCCACATTATCCGTGTATGCTGCACTACAACAATGTCCACACTGAAACTATGCTGCCTCTCATTTAATTGGCAGCGTGCGTTTTTAAATTGGCCTGTCTGACAGAAAAGACTGGCCCAGTCTGTAAGCGTGTGTGTGTGTGTGTGTGTGTGTGTGTGTGTGTGTGTGTGTGTGTGTG